AAATCACCCTATCCGACGCTTGTGCCAAAGACTCGTTGGCCCGGCGAGAGGCTACGAACGGATAGACGGAGTTGAGCCAAACAAAGCTGCCTGGTATTCCTTCTCCGCTTTTGTATATGCTGCAACATTGGCCATGGTCATCATCGCCTGCATCACAACCCCGTTATATCAGTTGCCATATGTGGAGCGTGATGAGTTGCAGTGGTACGTGTGGACTGATTTGGCCTTTGCTGTTGTCTTCACTGTGGAGAGTGGCATCAAAGTCATTGCAGATGGCCTTATCAACACCCCCAATGCATATCTCAGGAGTTCATGGGGCATTGTGGATACAATCGTGCTAATTACTCTCTGGGTGAATGTTGGAACTCTACTAGACAACAATGATAAAGTCTCAAGGGCGACCGGAGCAGTCAAGGCGTTTCGAGCTCTCCGCTTATTGAATATCAGCAACAGTGCGCGAAACACTTTCCATTCACTTATTATTGTTGGATGGTGGAAATTGCTTGGTGTAAGTGCAGCCCAACTCATCGTTACTCCTCATCCTTCTTAATAATCCCAAACTCTAATGGTTTGATATAGGCTGCATTTATCTCAATCTCGTTGCTCATCCCCTTCGCAATTTACGGGCTGAACTTGTTCAATGGGCTGATGATTAGCTGCAATGACGATACAGAGGGGTTGATCACTAAGCTCGAAGATTGCTTTGGAGAATTCGTGAGCACTCCCTACAGTGATTCTTGGGAAACTTTAGCCCCAAGAGTTGCCTCGAACAGCTACTTCCGCTTCGACGACTTCTCCTCTTCCATCTTCACGCTTTTCGGAATTACTAGTCAGGAAGGTTGGACGGATGTGTCTTTTGCTGCCCAAGCAATCACTGGCCGTGGCTACCAACCCCAACCCAGGACATCCGAAGCAAACGGCATATTCTTCATCATTTTCAATCTGATGGCAACCGTCTTTGTGCTCACTTTGTTCATCTCAGTTTTTATGCGAAATTATACGGAACAGACCGGAGTCGCATACCTGACTGCTGAGCAACGATCTTGGCTTGAATTGCGGAAACTGTTGCGGCAAATTTCGCCATCAAAGAGCTCGTATGACGATTCAGGAAAACGGACCTGGACACGGTGGTGCCACAAGAGGGCAATTGAGAAACGCGGCAAATGGTATCAGACTGTCACCGTCGTCTTGGTCTTGCACCTTGTCCTATCGATGATCGAATTCAAAGGCGAGCCACGAGAGTGGGAGACCACACGGAGTTCAATATTCCTCATTTTCATCCTAATATATGTGGCAAATATCGGAATCCGGATACAAGGCTTGGGCTGGACCCGCTTCCGCCGAAGCGCTTGGGATCTCTACTCTCTCATCTCTGTTTCCGGTGCTCTAGCTGCTACAATCGCGGTTCTCATCGTTAAGCACGAAAAGGACACGTTTGTCCAGGTTCATAAGTATTTCTTAGTCGGAATTGTCCTGTTGATTATTCCTCGCAACGATGCTCTGGATCAACTTTTCAAAACGGCGGCAGCCAGTGTCTCCAACATCATCAACCTCTTAGCCACTTGGCTTGTGCTCTTTCTGGCCTTCGCTATCGCTTTTACACAAGCTTTCAGCTTAACCCGGTTTGGATCCGAAGCGAGTGGTGACTGTAACTTCCGAACCGTCCCCAAGGCAATGATTTTGCTATTTCGGCTTAGTTTCGGAGAGGCTTGGAATGCAGTCATGGAGGACTACGCCTTCATTGAGCCTCCGTTCTGCACCGATGACGGTAATTTTTTCAGAAGTGATTGTGGAAGTAAGCCGTGGGCGAGATTCTTGTTCGTGGCCTGGAACATCCTCAGTATGTATCTCTTTGTCAACTTATTCGTCTCTCTCATCTACGAGAGCTTTAGTTACGTCTACCAACGCTCAACTTGGGTTGCGGCTGTTGATCGTGACGAAATTCGGCGCTTTAAAGAGGCTTGGCGCAGCGTTGACCCTGCTGGAACGGGTGCAATTAGCAAAGAGACTTTCCCAAGGCTACTTAGTGAGCTATCTGGTGTTTTCCAAATGCGCATCTATGATGCCGAGGATTCCATACACCAGATATTGGACGACATTCATGGCCAAGACAAGAGAGATCCTCATGCATCGATTGCAACGAGCAGCGGCTATAGCAACATTAACCTTGCCAGGCTTAATGAGCGTCTAGCTCTCCTAGACAAAGAGAAAATACGTGAACGAAGAAGACGCTTCAATATGTTTTACGAGGAGGTCTTAGTGAGTGCTGATCCTGACAGAGGAGTCACATTCACGGGCGTTCTTATGATCCTGGCTCATTACAACATCATTAACGATAGCAAGAGTCTCAAGTATGTCCCTTCCCGTCTCTGTTCCGCTCCGCATTATCATTTCAGGTAGAAACAGGCGACTAACACAATATACTCTAGGTTGGATGAATTCTTGAGGCGTCGTGCACGCCTACAACGCGTGGAGGACTCGGTCCGCCGGAAAATTGTCCAGGGATTTTTTGACACACTGTAAGTCGCTCGACATCTTGTGAAACGCGCTCGGAAGGGCGAACATAGGCCCTTCTTACTGACAATATTCGATAGGTACTGGTCAAGGAAGTTCAAAAAGCATAGAATGTCAAGGCTGTCTGCTCGAATGTCTACTATCCCACAACTGGACATTCCCGACATCATGGTCGATCCTGATTTCGACAGCCAAGACGATGCGGACAAGGGACAGACGCGATTTTCAGCCCCTCAGGCAACATCAACGACACATTTGAGTGTTGACGGAAAACGGCACCACTCGCGAAAACACAGCGAAGGGTCCAATGACGGCCAGCCATCCGCATGGGGCTCATCCGCGTGGGCTCATCCGCTGAGCTTCCCTCGATCAACATCTTCGACCCCATCACCTCCACTCTCACCCGCAAGCTTCGGTTTCGAGCTCCGCGAAGGTTCTGGCCAACTGGCACCTTCAGGAGAGCTTCACCGGCGAACGAGTTCCGTTAGCCCAAGCCAAGCCAGGGAAATGCTGGATGACTCAGCCTGGATGGAAAGCATTCGTCGAAGTGCAACTACTAGACGGCCAAACCGGAGGTCTAGCTAATCTGTTTCGTATCATGTTGCTTTTTCACGAATATTATCCAGTATCAACAGTAGACATGTTTTGGCTCTTAGCATCAGAAGCGAGGCGTTTTTCGGATATTGTATTAACTATGCTACATATCTATTTTATTTTCCTACCTCTTGTGGCACTTTGAGGCATGAATCAACCTCGTATTGATCAATTCTGACGAGTCCCAGACGAATACATAGCGACACATAGCCGATGATAGCATTGCACAGCAAGTATGGGCTTATATATAAGCCAGATATATTTCCCGAAGTTAACACAAAGCTGCTTTGCACCAAGAAAGGGATCGGTAACAGGGTGCAAAAAGTAAATCAAATTCATGCATGAGCAAAAGTGTTCCAGCTGAAGGCGAGTCATGATATTGTCAAGAAGTACCGCATTAACACCCGGCCGCCACCAATGTTGAAGTTACCGTGGAATAACTACGCAGTTTAGAGACCTCCGCACCCACGGCATTCTGTACAGAGTTCAATTGATCTGCTGCATTTGCCGTCCGGCCGGTGCCTAGTCATGGAGAGGGATCCATGCGAGTTCTCACGAGTCAAGATGGATGAGTGTGGACCGTCGACCCATGTAAAGTAACAGTCTCCAGGTACCTACCTACACAACGGGGCTGGGTGAGGCACTCAAGCACTCCAGTTGGAGACAAACGTCAATCTCATCAAGTCCCATTCTCCTCACCCAGCCGCTGTCACCACTAGTGCCAGACCGCATGTTGTACGAGTTGCGTAAAGTCCCTAGTTCACTTCAATGTCAATCCCCAGGGGCTATCGGAAGTCCCTGGCCGCTTCCTTAGCGCCCTCTCCACTTGCCGCTCGCCTGCCCGATTCCGCCAGCGCCTGAAGGGACATTGACGCCTGTGTGCCCGAAGTGCACGTGAAATGTGTATCAAAGTAGCAGTGTCGGGATGCTTGTGACATGACCATTATTGGATTCCGGCCTGCATCGCGTAATCAGATGTAGCTATGCATATCCTGTCAGCAACGACTCGCCAATGGCCAGCGATACCAGCGCCATGGGGACGCGGCGGCAGCAACAGCTACCTGCCAGGTGCGGGGCAGAAACTCGGCAGGCCAGTCCACCGACGATTGTATCCTGACAAAAGGCGCAAGCATTTAACTCAGCAAGCAACAGAATAAAAGATGGATGATGTGCGAGCGCATTCAATACTGTCGGCAAGGGATGCCAAGTCCACAAGTTGCGCCTTCGAGAGGCTGAGGGCGGTACGGCGACTCATGATTTATGTCACAGGTAGGTCCCCAGTACCGAATATCTGCGGTAATCAAATCGTTATGGGGGGTCATACCCACCATCGAAGGTAACCTTAGGTTCGGGCAGGTACCAAGCCAGGTACCCTACAGGGCTATACTGGACCCAGCCCGTCCAACCGCGCTCTCCCTCATTCCCGTGCGGACTGCAATTGCAACTGTTGCAACCCCCCGACTTGCCATTCCCTCGATATTTGCTTATTGGCATCCTGCATAGGCACACCAGCCTTTCCATCGCTCGCTCATGTGCTGGGCTGACTTTGATTGCGACAAAACCTCCGCCTGCTGACCAGCTCGCCCGCATCAGCATCCTCCACCATTTACCCGACCATCACGACTACCTACTCGCGACCCTATACACCTCCAATTCATAGACCTCCGGAGCTGGCAGGCATCGATCAATCTCGACATCGTCGCCGTCTGCTACATGCCTTGTATTATGGCTCTATAAACCATCCCGAGTCATACCAAGGTTTTCTCCCTTCCCCGCGTAAGCCAGGGACGCCTTGTTCTGCCTCGCCTTGCTCCAACGCTGGCTCGACTCAAAGCCGACCTGACACTCACTCGCTTGATATCCGACCATTCGAGAATTGATATATCCCTATAATGAGCTCCGGATACCCATCGTCCGATCTTTCTCAGCATATGGCTTATCCTTCTCATCCCACACCGCCTCCACCATCTTCCATGGCATCGATGCGCCACCATCCATATCAACCGTATCAAGGCCAACATATTGCACCACCACCAAGGCAACCGCCCCCCTCCATGCCACATTCTGTTAGCCATCTTTCTACACGACCTACACAACCGCCGCATCATCAAAACCATTCTCAGCAGCATTCGTCCCAACTGCCTTCCACTACCCCTCCTCGGCAAGATGAACCATCCGTCGAAGACCAGCGGCAAAGCCAAGAGAGTAATCTTGCGCCTGTTTCTCGCCTAGAAGATGGCACTGGCCGTCGTTTCCAGTATGTTTTGTCCATCCTGTTTTCTTGAGGTCTGAAGCTGAACTAGAACTCCCTCAGCCTTGATGTCGTGCAACAGCCTCAGCGTGCCCGCATGTGTGGCTATGGTGATAAGGTAGCATGGCCCTTTTTTCATCCTTCTCTCCCTACCTTTTTTTTCTTTGCGACGTTTGCGTACATGTGGTGACAGACTCACGCGGAAAAAGAAAAAAGACTAATGCAATCGCTTAGGATCGACGACCTATCACACCACCACCGTGTGTCAGGCTTATTATAACTAATGAACAGGGAAAAGAAATAAGTTGCAAGTAGGTCCTTGTCAATAACAATTCTACATTCAACGACACAACAAACCAGACCTAATACGTTTGTTTTAACAGAGACATTGATTATTCCATGTATGTGCTCAATGTCGACCTTTGGAACGACCTTGCATCCCAGGAGGTGAATCTGTGCCGGCAACCTTCATCGACGGGTACGTCCCCCATCTCTATGACACCGCTCTTACATACACATGACTCTTAACGGGATAGATTCTGTTGCAGTGTCCTATACACCCCAAGTTGTGGTAAACGGTCGCGAAGTTGCCTATGCACCGCATGCGTCAGTTGCCTATGCCCAGGAATTTCATCAATCGCAACCTATTTATAATCAAGGTTAGTTCACCGAATTCCCCATGCAGAAGTCGCGACTCGTGTTCGTCGCCCCTAATCAACGACTTAGTTACCCAATTTCCCCCGATCACTGACGAGCCGAACTCGTCTTACCCACCCAGTGGCAGATATCTACCTGCTCAAGAGTTTTTCCCTCGGCATAACTATCCAGGCGACCCCAGCGCTCCGCCCCTGACAGCCGAATACTTGGATGGCAATGGCGCTTCCGTGTCTTACATTAATGATCAATGCAAAGGGGCTCTTAATCGGAACTTGATCGGCAGTGTAGCCGCCAGTGCCTTTTGCCTTACTGATACACATGATCGGGAAGGCATCTGGTTTGTTCTTCAAGATCTTAGCGTACGGCTAGAAGGAACTTATCGGTAAGTACCGGGCTGGCATGCAAAACTCCCCAATCGCCTGGACGAAAATAAAACATTGGATCGCTTACGCCTTCAACCTAATTGTAGACTCAAGTTCTCCTTCATCAACGTCGGAAAACCTAGCTCCACACCTGGACAACAATCGACAGTGATCAAGGGCAAGGCTCCTATTTTAGCATCTTGTTTCAGTGCAGCGTTTACCGTGTATTCGGCCAAGAAATTCCCTGGCGTATGCGAGAGCACATCGCTAAGTAAAACCTTCGCTACCCAGGGAATCAAAATCCCAATTCGTAAAGATGGAAACAAGGGTGGTGACGACGACGACGTTGACTAATTGTCTCCATCTCGCCGATACTGCTTTAGCCAAGTGCCTTGCACCAAGTCAGACCTCCAGCACAGACTTTATGACCCCGATAATGGAACTCCTCACCTAGGTAGACTGTTGCGTTACTCAGATGACTATCAAAACCACCGCAATCAAGAGGCACCATGCCCTCTGCTGAGACTGGCTAGGATGTTGAGGAAATTCCCGATCCGTCGACGGCCTCTTGGTCTCGATTCTTTCTCAGTCTCATGGAACTATGATTACAGTATGTCTGGGAGGATCTTTTCTTTGAACTCGTCAATCAATCGTAATGCTATCTCTAAGAAGGGACGGGCTTGTGCTAGCAGCGCACGTGACCCCAGGGAGCAAGACCCTGGTGAGATAGGATGGCGGGTGTGTGGAGGATGGTGTTGATTTAAAAATCTCGAAATATATCATGCCTGTCATAAAAGCGCCCTCTCCCGTACCATTGCGAGATTCGATGGGGCTGCAATAGTACATATGCTGAGCACATGGTGCAGTTGGAAACAGACCAACATCCCGGTGCTGATGCGATGATGCTCCTTCATAGTAGCACAGCCTGCTTGGTGGCAGAATATAAGAAGGCTATTGAGCTTGAGTTCAGACTGAATGAATATTGTCTTCACGTATTTGCGGTCCGCTCTCTGTATAGTGAAGACATGTGGTTCTTCATCTCAAGATGAGTATATGGCGGAAAGAAAGGCAAGGGGTTGTTTGTTTGATCATGAATTGAAAGATGAATCCTGGAGAACAACACGCACATAGGTAATACCAGTTTTGTCGTTTTCACAATTACCATGAATTCCCTACAACAACCTCTTATCCACAATTTCTTTGCTCTCTGGTGGGAATTCAGAACAACATCCCCTTATAACTGCCCTTGAGAATCGCAACCCTTGGTAGAATCTAATGCTCTCTTTCTCGCCCACAGCCTGTCCACTTTGTCACCTTCATCTTGGAGCTGAGTAGGCGGGATCAACTGCGAGAGGTTAAAGTTGCTAAAAGTGGTATGGGAAGATGCCAAGGGTTGCGACCAGGGGCTGAGGCCAATAGTCTTTCATACTCCAAACTTAAGTCTTCCCCGGCTCATCATTGGCCCACTCTATTGCTTCGCCGAATACCTTAAGTAATGGCAGGTTGTAAAGAAATGTTCCCGACGAGTCTAGTGCGTCTACTTTGTTTCCTAGAACGCCGCTACTGGGAACACCGGTGGTCTTTTTCGTTCTTAGGCTGTAATTACTAGACCCTTTACTTGCCCCATATGGAGCGAAATTTGTTCTCCTCATCCGTTGCGCAGAGCCCTTCTCATCACGCGCCCCAAAGACTTACCCTGCGGTCTTGATCTCCCCCCGCCTCCTCAACTCTCAACATTCTCCCTACACATTGAAACCGCCACCGCAAGCCAGTCGTGTTTCAGCTCAGCTCCTCACCGAACAGTCGTCATGTCGAACTTTTCCTCCCACGGCCGTGGTGGCGCCGGCAACATGGCCGACACTACCCAGTCTCCACGCCTACAGCCGTCCGATCTGGAAACACCCATTCTCAAGAAGCCCGTCATCACTACCGGCCGTGGTGGCACGGGCAACATGGCGCCCAACAAGGACCCCGTTGAAACTCGCAAGCGCCAGGATGTCGATGCGTACGTCTTTCTTTCTCCTTGCGACCCCTCCAGCCTACCCCTCCAACCGGGGGGGGGGACTTCGGAAACTTCTTTTGCTAACATCTGCTCATCTTGCCAGTGTCCCTCGGCGACCAAGCTCGGGCGCACAGCACGCAGGCCGTGGCGGCGCCGGGAACGTGTTCAAGGACAAGGCCGAGGCCGAGAGGCTGGCGCGCAAGGCGAACAACGACAGCGCCATTGCCGAGGACGACACCGAGTCCGCCAGTACGGATCCCAAGGGCGGCGACAAGGACAAGGAGGCGGCGGCCAAGGAGAAGAGCAGGGCCAAGCACTGGCTCCTTGGCGGCAAGAAGGCCTAGCCCGCGTGTGGGGTATTTCTTTCTGGGTGAATTATCCGTGTGATTGAAGGAGTCATGTTGGTTATTGCGCGCTTTTATTTGATGGATTCTTGACAAAAGAATTTTCTCCCCTCGTCGTTATTTTCCCGGGAAGCGGCCATTACGGCAATGGGCTATGGTTTGTTGTGCTTTTCATTTTCCGTAGTTAAATCAGGTCCAGTCATTTGGTAGCATGCACTGGAGTATATGGTGGGAATTCGGAGTTCAATTGGCTACTATAACTTGGGCGGGCGCAGGTTCTATAGCTCCATGATGATTGAGCATGGGTATATAGTATTTTAACTATGAGTACGAATGGGTGTGTATGCTTTTAAACAGCACGAACGTTTCATTTCAAACCAATATTCAATACATAGAGTACATCCGTGACAGGCTTAATTCCTCTTTCGAACTTGTCATTATGCCATGTTTTATTACTAGTTACTGCTTTGTGAGGCGGTGGATCTCTTCAAAGAAGTGCTTGAGGTTGTCAGGATTCACACCAGGGGTGATACCTATATCACTAGTTAGCTTTCAACAGTAACACCGGCTCGAGTGAACGGCATGCGAAACTTACCATGTCCCAGATTCGCGATCCAGCCCTTGTTGCCAACCCAGAAGCCCTTGACCATATGCTCTACGGCCTTGGTAATGGCTTCCTTGGATCCGTACAAGACGCCGGGGTCGGCATTGCCCTGGAAAACCACGTTGCGGTCACCGCGGATCTTTACAGCCTCAGCCGGGTCCTGTAGCCAATCCATGCCAACGACGTTGTATCCGAGATTGCATGCCGAGTCTAAGGCGTGCCAGGCCCCCTTGGGGAACACGGTCATGGGGACCCTTTCAAGCCCAAGGCTTTTCAGCTTCTCAGGAAGCTTCTGTGAGATGTGTGCCAGGTACGGCTCAGAGAACTCCTTGAACGCAGGCGGTCCTAGCTCACCGGCCCAAGAGTCAAACACCATGACAAGCTAGAAATAATACCTTGCTGTCAGTCTCCTGAATTGAGAGGTCTTGTACTTAAGGGCAAAGAAACCGTACCTGTGCTCCGGCTCGGACCTGCAGGGCCAAGTGCTCAACGCAAACATCGGCAATCTTGAGGAGCAGAGCCTTTGTCTCCTCCGGGTGTCGGTAAATCCACTTCTTGCTCTGCGCAAAGAGCTTCGTGCCTCCTCCCTCAACCATGTAGCAAAACAGAGTCCACGGCGCACCGCAGAACCCAATGAGGGGAACGCGACCAGCGAGTTTCTTTCTCGTGACGGTGATTGCCTTGTAGACATATCCTAGTTCTTCCTCCACATTCACGTTGCGATCCATAACTTGCTGATATTGGCCATCATCAGGGCCTTGTAGAGGGTTCGGGAAGTGCGGGCCCTTCTTGTCCACCATTTCGACGACCATGCCCATGGCTTGGGGGATGACGAGGATGTCGGAGAAGATAATGGCAGCGTCGACTAGACCAGCATAGCGCTCGATTGGCTGGAGAGTGAGGGTAGATGCTACTTCGGGATCGCGACAGCATTCGAAGAAGTCACGGGAGCCTTTGGCCTCATGATACTCTGGCAGGTACCGACCAGCTTCGCAATTGGCGTCCTTGTTAGCTAGGAATCCTCAGGATAGACACAGTCTGAGATCAATGATGGAAAATAGTACATACCTTGTCGCATTACCCACATGGGAGGGCGTTCCACGACCTGGCCTATCCAACGGCGGGGTGTTTTAGCAAGACACAATCACTTATGAGACCTTGGCTTCGTATGGCTCAAGGGGACGACGGCGCACCCACCCCATGCTGCCCGAAGTAACAGGTCGTTCTTCAATGGCTCGAATGTAAGCTCCATGGCTGGATTTGTGTGCTGGATTGGTATCTTTGACGGGTGTATTGGAAGAGAAGTGAATTCCGATCCAAGTTGCATCCATTTTCTACCCCACTACTAGTGCCTATCAAGGCAAGAAGTGGGTGTCAGCTCTGCCGAACCGCTAATGTTTCTTACTTTCAGAGCAATATTTTGTTATTGTCGATGGAATTGATCAATAATAAGGATTTACGAGTATCTCAATATTTCGACTACGAATATTGGGCTCGTATTAAAAGGCGAAATATCTAAGTAATAGCTTCGCCGCGCCTGTTTTCTGAGAGAAAGTACCTATCTTGATATCGGCCGCGGCCCAGCAAATGTAGATCCATGCCACTGAGCCGCGGATGGTGTTCTTAGTCAGCGCCTTTCTGCATACCCTACACTGCTAGTGGTGACACGATTACATAGTAGCACTGACGATTCTCTGGCCCGCCCATTTCGCGATCGTAAACTGCGAATCAACGTTTCCTTGCGCTGAAGCTGAGCAATCCCTAGCACTCTTGTTGGATTACAGATCGACGCCTTTATTTATTCTTTTCTCCCTTACAGCTCCGAGAAGTGATAAGTCATGTCGTCGTCCGAGCAAGAGCTCCAGATTCACCCCATCGTACAGGAGTCGGTAGTCCACAATGCGAAGGTGCGCAGAGCTCACACACCTGATGCTGTCCAATTCTCCTACCACCCATGCTAATACTGGAATTGTTTTGATATAGACGCTCTCCAACTTTCACAGCCTCACGGCCTCCCTCTTCGGTGTAACCGCTGGCATCCTCGGCCTCGAATCCTATGCCGGCTTCCTCCTCTACCTCGTCCTCTCCGTCATCACCACCCTCCTTTTCTACATCTTTCAGGTAGCGCCTGCCTCACTCAGCGAAAAGAAGCCCCTCTTTGATACGACACGATTCTTCAAGGGCGCGCTGGATTTCTGGACGGGCGGCTTGTTCAGCGGCCTCTCCGGCTTTGTTTTGACTTGGACGCTCTTCTACGGCCTGGTACGGGTTTAACAGACGGGCAGGACTGTCTGTTGTATGGATCATGGGATTGTCACGGCGTCAAGGAGCTGTACAGCATATACAAGTGGGCTCTTGCTCAGGGTTGCCTGGTGATATTGGAAGCCTAGCTTGGATAAAATCGAAGAACTAGGGATATGTGCATATACCTTCCTGCATACGGGTTCACAAAAGACCAAGTGAATGTTCTAAACTAATATCAGAAACCCAATGAAAGAGACAACAAAAAAAAGCTAGGATCACTCGTACCAAGGAATATCAAGGAATATCAATACGCTGCAATTTGCTATGTCCTTCAGTCGACAATCTCTATAATCTTGCCCACATAACCCTCGAGGCCCGATCTATCCTGACTTCCCCCCTCTAAGATGATGACCCGTGAGCCCAGTTCCACCCACTCTCGGTTGTGCAATAGCTCCAGAAAGACCTCGGTCCGTGAAACGCCGCCTGTTCCGTTGGAACTTTCCAACTCCTCAAAATCCTCACTGAGGTTGAACACGTCAATATCTTCAGTCGCCGTCTGCCCAAACTCTGGCCGCTTGGAGTGGCGTGAAATGCCTCTGACCCGAGCTGTGGCTCTAACACTTGCCACGTACACATTGACCAAAGAGCCCACGACCAACGATTCCATGTCCGGGTCGGTGAAGGTGGCCGTGAATCCGCTGGCAGCTTGAAGTGAGAGCCCCGTGTCCACCATATGTTTTGAAGGGATAGCCAAGACCATCCCTCTTCGGATCCTCGGGATCGAGCCGCTTGTGCTGGCCTCGCCTGGTTCCAACACCAGACCAATTGAACCAGCTTGGCCGGCCTTAAGTGTCCGTACCGGTAATCGCAGGTTCCTGACACTCACAATGCGCGCCTTGTGCCACTCGCCAGCTATTGTCGATGCAGAGACAGCATTCTCCAGGCTTATCTTGGCAAGCTGAGAAGAGGCCGGGTGTGAGATTGACAGACCGTAGTTCCCAGGGGATGCCTTATCATCCGTTCTGAAATCCCCGGATTCTTGCTCCTCTGGTGGGAATGGGCCCACGACAACCTCATCACCCACGGACAGATCCCCGAAGCGAAGATGCCCGGATATGACGACGCCTCGGGCCTCCGCCTCGGAACCACCTCCAGCCAGAGTCCCAAACGAAGACGGAAGGGAGAAGGTGTCATCTATGTGGAACAGACTGTTGGGCTGCTCTGGGTTGAGCGCCATCCCAACAAAATCACGAGATGTCGGCGGAGACGGCAAAGGCAGACTTTCAAGGAGGGCATGTACCAGGCCAACACCTGTCCCTTTCACTACGCTTGTAAGGACGATAGGGACATATTGTGTCAAGCTTCCACTTTCGGCAATGGCCTTGATGATACTCTGCACTTTGTCGTGGTCTTGCTGGGGGATCTTCTGCAGATCCTCATGCCGGCTCTGGTCAGGCTGGAGAATTTTGGGAACTCGACCAGCAGCTTTGATGGCTGTCAAGATCTTGGACATGGTCTTCTGCAGACTTGTTTTTGAGGCGAGGTCCAGTTTAGTGACGACAATGGCCATTGGCACTTCCAACTTGAGAGACAGCGTCAAGTGTGCGCTGACGAGATCTACGCCTGCCGCGGCCGCCCCAAGGACGTCCTGCGCAGTCGACGTCCCGCCGGGTCTCATGGATGCCGGGTCACCGTCATCTGAGGCGATGCAGAGAATGCTCCAGTGCGGTGCCCAGTTCATGAGGCCTCTCAGGACGGTTCGACGGTACCTGGGATGCCCTCCTGAATCAGATACAAAGACAAGTCGACCGCCATCAGCGCAATCATGGATATCCATCCATGACTCAATATTGCCCTGAGAGAAATTGAGGATTTCTTGATCCTTATACCCGATCAGCTCCTGGGCAATAGAACTGGTCACCCCAGACACCATTTCATGACGATGTCTTAGGAGACTGAGCCGACTCTTTCCTCGACCATTATCCAGTGTTCCCGTGGACAGGGTTCCAAGGAGACTAGATTTGCCAGAAGTGGTTGGCCCCGTGAAGGTGACTCTCAGTTGGGGAGTCAGCGAGATTCCCTGACTAGGGGTCGCATCGCCAACAGAGGCGTCTTGGGATGCTGAGGGGGCCCGGATGTTCTTGGAAGCCTCCCCATTCTGGCCGAGCTGGCGAAAGATGCGAAGATTGGGAGTCACAAGTGCCTCAGCTACCCAGAGCTTACCGTGCCTAGTAAGTTCATCACCAGCGCCATCGACCTGCTCTATCCACTCGCAATTACCAACAATGACCATACGCAACACTTCAACCGTGCATCCAAGACTAGAAGCCATCACTTTAAGGGTCTTGATACTCTCGTCCATCTCATCTTTAGTGAGTCCGACTAGGGTACCGTCGTCGGACACACCAATCTCATACAGGGCTCCTCTTGATTCATCCAAGCCAGGAACAAGGCTATCCGGCTCTTTCAGGGGTTCAAGTGCCACATTGTCATCGGGGAGTTTGGGCATGGGTATTTCTTTGGAACTGGAGGCATGATATGGGGACGACTGCTGCAGTCTCCATAAGAGCTGCGTAGTCAGATGCAGCAGCCGCTGCTGACGTGGTTGCTGGGCTGGGGCTGGTGTAGAGGTGCGTGTAGGATGAGCGGAAAGACTGGTGCTATTGTCCTGGGATGCGAGAGAGGCTTTGGTTTGGGACTGGGCGGGTATAGTTGTCATCGATTTGTATGCCCTTCTCGGCCGCAGAAGGAGATGTAGCTTGTACTCAGTAGGCCCGTCCTGAGGTTCAGCCTCCAACTTGGTCACGCCGTAATCAGACAGCAAACCCGGTTCTGCGGATGCCTGGCCCGAGGTGGACTGCCGTGACAGTTCCTGGGGAGTTCCTGGATCCTCGGGGGAGAGCCAAGGAGAGGAGATCCGCGGGGGATCGGGGTCATAGGTGAATATCGACGCCATTGTCCGGGTTAGTCGGAGCGGTCGCCAAAGGGGTATCAAGCTATGAAGGGGGGATGAAGGGGGTTATGCCAGGTAGATGTGCTCTAGACGTTTATGACAATAGCTGGGCCAGTGGTTGGTTGCGTATTAACACTTGGATACGGTGAGGTGTGATGTTCCGCGACCGCTGTATAGACGGTATCATTTTGATTGCTTGAAGAGATCAACAAGGTGGTCAGAAGCTGCTGTTCTTCTGGAAATGACTTTTTGAGAGAGGAGAGATGAAGTTCAAGAAGCAGAGGGAGCGCAATGGCGGGCTCGTGCTAAAGATAAAGGGGAGCCATGAGATGATTCCAACTGCGGCGGGATGACTCAACACGGCGGGAGCAAATGGGTCATGCTGGTTGGCAGTAAGTGTCTGGGAGATGCTAATGCACGTAAGGTGCATTAATAGTGGGTAACTTGTGTGCTAATGACTTCAATGTCTGGGAATGCCAATTGGCGATGGGGAATTGGGTGAGGCCTCAGAGATCGGATCAGACATGCATTTAGTTGTATGGAAGAGGTTGTTTGGGGACGAGCGCGGATTCGTGGTTGGCGTTGGACCAGTTGCATTGCATCAGAGTTTTCGCATTAAATAAATTATACACATACGCAGGCGGCAGATTACAGCCGACTACGGTACCTCCAAGACCTATCTTTTCTGATCCTCGTGTCCGAAGGCAAGGTGGCAGGCATACAACTGCTACGACAGCACTGCATCATTTCCTCTCAGTGGATTGCATTAATTACCCGGTCGAGGCCAGCCTTCTGAATACATACATATCAACTGGGGCACTCTTGCCCTTCGTTACATATTCATATTCTCATGGTTCTAGTGGCTGAGGCTGTGGCAAACTCGTAAACTTTCAGCCTCCTCAGCCCCAGAGACTGTCGTCTCTAGGGATTTCTTACGGCGTCAAGGCGTCCACTATCCAAAGGGGCCACCAGGGGGCGTGTGTCTGGACTCACGCCTGAAGGCGGGGGAGTCTCAGCGGTGGGCCCGGAGCTGAGCCCCTAAAATCTGCTGCTCACGGCAGCCTGAGCAGGCCCAGCACCTCTGATGGTGGGGGAGGGGTGGCGCTCAGGCTCCCCGTTGGCTCATGACGATGGCCACCTAACGCGAAGGGTCTGGGTAGCGCAGTGTGAGGAGCCTTGAAACCCAATTGCACCCGCAGGTGTAAGCCCCTGGGGTGCTTTCGGGCTGGATTTAGGTCCATGCATACCCGCCGTCTTGCTGGTTCAGTGTCAACCGCCCAAGTGTATTCTTAGTGCATTCGAAGCGTGCACACCACAGCCCACTTGTCGGGACAAGCTGATCTGGTCGCCATATATCACCCCGACCAGATACCACACCGCCCGCCTACGCTCTCCCACATTCACTACATACCATTGTCCTGTTTTTCTATTCTTATCACGGGAGCCCTCGATCAAAATGAAGAAATTCGGATTTGGGAAGAAGAGTGCCGACGATGGCGACGAGGCCAACCGCAGCGCTCTATTCGGGCGTAAGAAGTCCTCTCCCGCTCCCAATTCCCCCCCTGCCCCTCAGTCCGACAACCCCTATGCCCGACAAGCACCCGCCAACGATCCCTATACGAGCTCGAAGCCTACGACTGCCTACCAGCAGGCTCGGGCAGGTCTGAACAACCCTGGAGGTGCGCCTGGCCCGAATGGCGGTGGTTACGGCAACAACCAGTACGGCTCTGGAGGCGGCTACGGCTCGAACAGATACGAATCTCCGGCTGCCCAGAATCCGTACAGCGCAGGCAGCCGTGTCAGCGGTTACGGCGGTCTTGGGGGTAACGAGCCAGACAGCAACCGAGACGCACTATTTGCCGGAGCCCAGGAGAGATATGAGCAAAAGCAGCAGCGCCCTCCCCCTGCATATCCCGATGCGGGAGGCAGTGCTGCCGGAGGTGACTACGGTGGCTATGGCGAGCAGCGAGAGTTGACCGCCGAGGAGCAGGAGGAGCAAGAAGTCCAGGCCATTCTGGCCGAGAAGCGAGCGGTGCAGCAGGAGAGTGCCAACTCCGTCAACCGTTCCGTCTTGATGGCGAGACAGGCAAACGAGGTCGGACGGGCGACGCTGGCTCGACTTGGCGCTCAGGGCGAGCGCCTTCACAACACTGAGAAGAACTTGGATCTCGCCGCCAACCAGAATAAGATTGCTCAGGACAAGGCTGCCGAACTCAAGACGCTCAACAGAAGCATGTTTGCGGTACACGTTGGCAACCCGTTTACCTCCAAGGAGCGCCAAGCAAGGGCCGACGAAGCAGTCATGAAGCGCCACCATGAGGAGCGAGAAGCACGAGAGAACACTCGTCGCGAGGGATTCGCAGCCAACCAGCGCATGGAAGACAGCTTCAGGGCTTTCAACACTGCTGGTGCGCGACAGAAACAGACTACCAAGAAGGGCTACGGAAAGTACAACTTGGACGATGAGGATGATGACCTCGAGGACCAAATTGATGAGGGGCTTGGAGAGCTGGAGAGTCAGGTCAAGATGATGAACATGGTCGGTAAAGCAATTGGCAAGGAGGTGGACGCACAGAACAAGATGATCGACCGAATCACCCAGAAGGTTTGTGTTGAAGGCCCCTTATTCCTCATTTCTCTTGGCACGTTGGTTGAGCATATCACTAACCACAATATCACAGAGCGATGCTGTCGACGATGCTACCCGCATGAACAGAGAACGCTTAGCCCGCATCAACTAGAGACGTTCCAACGAATCAAGCAGGGGTTGAGAAAGGCTCAGAGTTGCGAGACTTGGTTCATTAAGCCATTCTCTGTTTTAGTTTTTTGCTTCTCATTTGGTCTCCTACACAAGCACATTCCGTATAAGCGTCAAAATAAGACTCTAGAATTAATAACGTATTTAAAACTCATTAGTGAAATCATTTGGCGATCCCAATGCTGTAGGTTATGTAGATTCGGGATCTCCTACTGGCTGCTGAGACCGTGCAATTGATAGAAGGCACACTGTGCCCCATAATAGCCACAGCCAATCGCTGCGATTTTCCATCCTGGCAACCGACGTCCTCAACAGGCAGAGAAGAAGTTTTGGGTCAAGCACTACTACATCACAACTAGTCCAAAATGTCACTCGAAAAGGACGGAGAGCATCGCTCAAAGCGAAGAAAAACAGACAAGAAAGAGTCTGCGTCGCTCAAAATTGGTGGCAAGGCCATCTCTCTGGAAGGCTATCTAAATGCCCCCAAAAAACCTGCGCCGTCGCCCGCTGTGCCCACCACTGCTCCAGCTGAGGCTGTCAACGGCTCGGAGAACGCTCATGGGCCAGAGAAACCAATAAAATCAGAACTAAAGGAGAGACACTCCAAGAGGCAGGAGAATGGGCCCAAGGGGCCCCAGTTCAAAGGCCGCGAAGACGAAAAGCTGCTGAAAACTCGCCGGGAACTTCCCATCTGGCAGCACCGTTCGGATATTCAGAATGCCCTGAGCGGCCCGGAAAATGACGTTCTTGTTCTAGTCGGTGAAACGGGTTCAGGAAAGAGTACCCAGGTACCTCAGTTTCTGTACACCGAACCGTGGTGTCAACGTCGAAAGGTTCAGCTGCCCGGCTCCAAGGATGAGGTGCAGATTGGGGGAACTATCGCAATTACGCAACCTAGACGAGTTGCCGCAACTACACTGGCCCACCGAGTATCGCAGGAGGCCGGTACTCCGCTTGGAAAGGGCCGGAAAGATGGCAAAGTTGGATACTCTGTTCGATTCGATCACAACGTGCCAATTGGAACAAGGATCAAGTATTTGACTGAAGGTATGCTGCTCCAAGAGCTTCTGCGAGACCCAAGCCTCCGGCAATACAGTGCAATCGTCGTGGATGAAATTCACGAGCGAAGCCTTGACGCTGATCTACTCGTCGGCTTCCTCAAGCAAATTCTGGCTGGAAATAAAGCCGGCCGGGCAGGAGTCCCGCTCAAGGTGGTTGTCATGAGCGCAACTGCTGATGTGGATGCCATCCGGGGATTCTTTGGGGATATCTATCCGGAGGACAAACGTGAAAGTGCGATTCAAGTGCTGAGAATCAAAGGCCGCCAGTTTCCTGTCGAGCTTAAACACGAAAGAAAGCCAGTGGCCGATCTTCAAGATGCGCTTCTCAAAACCATCTTCAAAGTCCACACACAGGAACCACTTCCTGGCGACATCCTTGCGTTCCTCACCGGCCAAGAAGAAATCGAAGCTGCACAGAAGATCATCGAGGAGTATGCGACGACCCTGGCGTCAAATATGCCCAAACTAAGAGCGTTCCCTCTCTACGGACAGCTGTCGATGGATTCACAGCGTGAGGCGTTCTTGCCTGTTAAGACTCCGTTCACAAGGAAAGTTATTTTGGCAACAAATATTGCAGAGACTTCAGTTACGGTGCCTGGAGTGAGATATGTCATTGATTGTGGCAAAGCCAAGGTCAAGCAGTTCCGTGCACGGCTCGGGATGGAGTCTCTTCTCGCAAAACCCATCTCCAAGTCATCTGCAGTCCAGAGAACCGGTCGTGCTGGACGTGAAGGCCCAGGAAAATGCTTCAGACTCTACACCGAGGACGCGTTCACGAATCTTCAGGGGTCTGACCTCCCTGAAATTCTACGAAGTGATGTTCTAGGGGCCGTTCTTACAATGAAAGCAAGAGGAATCCAAGACGTTCTTGCCTTCCCGCTAATGGATGCCCCTGAAACGGAGGCGATCGAAAGGGCCTTGGTGCACCTACATTTTCTTGGCGCGTTGGCTGACGATGGCTCTATCACGTCGAAAGGTCAGACGATGGCCAGGCTCCCTCTCTCTGCGCCACTGGGAACGGTCTTGCTGGCAGCCGCTAGGCCCGAGTTCGACTGCGTACTCGAAACAATTGACATCATATCATGCATTACTTCCGGAGAAGACATCTTCCTCCAGGTGCAGTCTGAAGAAGCACAAGAGGAAATTGAACAGGCAAGGGGTGAAGTACAACGTCGTGAGGGAGATATCATCACCTATCTTACCACGATCCAGCAATACACGGCCGAAAACGCCAACAGGATAGAATGGTGCAAAAAGAGAAAGATCAACATCCGCAACATGAAACAGGCACTGAATATTCGTCGACAGCTGCGTGGCATCTGCTTGAAAGAGGGGCTGTTATCTGAAGCCCCTTCCCAAGACCCGCAGCCCTTTGTTCCTCTGGCACCGGAGCAGGCAGAGATGGTCATTAAATGTTTCCTGAAGGGATTCGCTCTCAAGACGGCAATGCTTGCCCCTGATGCGAGCTACGTAACGGTGCAAGGAAAGCATGTCGTGGCTATACACCCAGCTAGTGTTCTCCACGGGCAGAAGAAAGAGGCCATCATGTTCCTCGAACATGTCTATACGAATAAGAATTATGCCAAGAAAGTGAGCGCTATCCAGGCAGCATGGATTGCTGAAGCATTGGAAAATAGGTAGAGATGCTCTATGGGAGAGTTTGGCGTGTGTCGTTTTCCTCCTTCTTAATGAGCACGTTGGACATGCTCAATCATATAACTTACAAAGCGATAGAGAATGTAACATACAGGCCTTGAAATATAGATACATAGATGGTAGATACATGATATAATTTTGGTTTGGAACAGTTTCTTATGATTGCGGCTCCTCATCGCCAGGAACCCCCTTGTGTTTCTGAATGGCTTGCAAAAGCTCATATAATTGCTGAATTTGTTCGTCTGCATAAGATATTAGCGAGTCTGGTAGGTAACGTGGAAATCCCATGCGCCAGAGCATAACACCCGCCCTCATGCGTCTTGACACGAGGCAGAATAAGAGAACATACCGCTCATCTTGGCAAGCTTGGTCTCATCAATCTTCTGGCCCTTCCATGAGTCACCCTCGATCTTCTGGGCATACAGCTGCCACTCAGAAAGAAATCCAATCTAAGCCAGTTTAAACCACCTTGTTAGGATATAGGGCTTTGAGAACCGCACGCAGGGGAGGGTAATTTGGGACTTACCAAGTGTGCCGGGTTGTCGACTTTCCGATGAGCTCTGAACTCGGCTTTGACGTACTCATCGCCCAGCACACGCATTTCCGCCGGCAGATGCTTCCTGTGAGCTCTCAGAATACGGCGGTATAAGAAGATGGGCGGGAGCAGAGCCATGGGCCGCGGTCGTAGGCTGTTGCCAGCTTGTTCTGCAGCGGCAGTGGCCAGCCGTACCAGTGTTGGACGCATGATGTCTGATCTGGGAAAGGAGTCAGAGTACTGCTACACCGTATGCCGTAAGGACTCTACAACTATTATTAAATGGAGAGATTCGGGCTCCGTGATTCAATTGACGGGGGGGGGGCTTTGATTGCTAATGCCGTCGCAGAGAGCCGTCGATTGAACCACCACGGAAACTTTTTCTGGATATCCGCCCCACATCCACAAGCCGAGCCTTTGATACTTACCACCTGCCGAGAGCTATCTTCATCTTCTCTACTGATTCATCGCTGAGATTTATCCGCAGACCGAGAGCCTCGAACCATGGCCTTCTCCTTTGGCTTTTCAGGCGATGACATTGACACTGGTGATGAGATCAGCCCGTCACAGCCGCAGGCCCCTCCCCCGCCGGCCCCAAGCGCCTTTCCCATCCCCGGCAAACCCCAGCTGCCACCAACTCTCGAGCCCCTTACCTCTTTGATAAGTCGGCTGCCCTCCAAAATTGCCTTTAGCTGTCTAGATGTGGCCCTGGATGACGGCAAGACCGTTATGCAGGTCCCCCGCCGAGAGTTGTGGGACGTGAGAGTCCAGCTCATGGCGGAGGACGAGGGTGGTGATGGCCCCGAGGGTCTGGGCCAGCATGATGTCAAGTCTGGTGTTTATGAGGGAGGGTTTAAAAGTTGGGAAAGCAGTGTAGATTTGGTCAAAGTCCTGGCTGCGACTGATGACCTTTATGGCCCAGAGGGCAAGCCAGTTCGAGTAATCGAGGTAGGTCGGCATTATGCATCGTTTCATACTCTAATTCGACACATAATCAGACTCGATTTTTAAAAGAACATAGAAAAAGCTAACCGAATTGCATTTATGCTAAAATATAGCTTGGATGTGGAACGGCATTACCGTCCCTCGCCCTGTTCCAGTGGTCGATCCAGAACCAGGGGAAATCCGGCTCCAGGCCTTTCTCATTCATCGCAGCAGACTATAACCCAACAGTCCTCCAGCTGGTTACTCTACCCAATTTCATTCTCGCCTGGGCTCTCGCCGTGCAATCTAGCAACCCTTTGGTCAAAGAGGCCTTCACCGAGGACGGCGAATTGGAGCTCACTCCAGAGCTCCTCGAGGCTTTCCAGAGCTCACTCCTTAAATCCAACATCAGCCTATCATTCCTTTCAGGGGCTTGGTCGCCGCAGTTTGTCGACTTGACGTACGAGGCTGCTCTTGCCTCTGGCGCCCCATCAACCACCCTGATTCTTGGGTCTGAGACTATATATTCCCCATTCGCTCTCCAGGCTTTTACAGAGACCATTTTCTCTATCCTTGAACGGGAGCGAGGTGTACCGGAATCAGCTGCAGTTGCTCTTGTAGCAGCTAAACGCCTGTATTTTGGGGTCGGTGGATCGCTGGACGATTTCATAGAGAACGCTACGGCAAGAGGAGGTGCCATTACGCAGCTACGAGAAGAGACGGAGGGTGTGAGAAGGGGCGTAGTACGCTGTGCTCTTGGATCCTAGCAGGCTGGGGCATGATGAGGTACAGCATGACGAAATAATGGAAGTACGTTCAGCACATGCATGGCTAGCAAGAAGAAAAAGAAACGGGTTGAATAAGGGCAAGGGGATGATCAAGCAAAAGCGCACACCAATTATTGTGCTTAGGCCCTCAATCTCTCGAGTAGATGAGCTACAAGTTGAGTCTCGGTCGGTAAAAATGATCAAAGAAAAGGGGGTATCCTGTATTGAAAATAATGGCTAGAAACAAACCGACTAACTCCATTCCCTGTAAATCCGCCGTTTTACCCAAAAACCTTATTTGCTCTTTCGCCCTAGTTTCTCAGAGCATTCAGGACAATACCAAGTCCCATTGGGTTCGCTCTTGAGGCCAACACAAGACCAATGGAACCATTCGTAAGGACAGTCGTCATTGTCACAAGCGACCATGTCACCGTAGCTCACATTATGGCACAGACAATATTTCTTGTCATCACTGCCATCTTCGTCATCATCGTCGTCGGCATCTGCAAGAACGTCATCCCCATCCGCATCTTTGCCATCTCCGGAAGGGGTCCCTCTTGAGAGGACCTCGGCACCTTCCTCGTCACCACTCGCGCTAAGTGCATCAGACAGGTCACTATCTGCTGTTGATGCGGGGGAGTTCCTATTGGAGGCTTTCTTGACGCGTGATAGGGACGATTTGTTGGGTGGCTTTTTGCGGCTGATTGAACCAGGAGTGCCCCGCCTAGCTCCTGCTTGGGAGCTTGCCTTGACCGAACTCGCTCTCGGGCCGGCGCTACCAGCTCTTGCTACACCACCTGGACCAATGCCAGGACCATTCTTGGGAGTGCCTGGTCCCAATGACGAGTGTCTGGCAAGACCACTAGACGTAGCGGGGAGGGTTCCTAGGCCGGAGGTTACACGAGCCCCACGCTTGGTCGCAGGTCCTGCAGAACTCTCCCTTTGATTTCTGTTGAGAATCATGCTTGCTGCTGGGGTGGTTGGTGCAGACGAAGGGTGCTGTGGAACCGATGGGAGCGACAGCGCATTGCGCATTTGCGAGTGGCTGGGTAGGCGGGCGAGGGTCGGGTTGGTTGATGGCGTTCGGTTCGCGGGCTTGGCTGGTACAGGGCTGACCTTGATACCGGCTGCTGCTGGGTTGGTCGGTCGGACAGCGGGCGCGCTATGGTTCGCAGCACTTGGTCGGAGAAGCGAAGGGACTTCATCTGGATTGCCGAACCCAGGTTCGTTACGGTCGTAAAGCAATTTGATCTGGACATCGAGGCTTCGGAGGTGCTTGTCGAATTGATGTTGGAGCTTTTGTGTAAGAGATATCTTCTCCTTTGATAGTTGGTCGGCTCGCTCGAAGCTTTGTCGAATCTGGGATCGCAAGGTCTCCTCCTTGGGATTGGGCTCGTTGCTGCCGTTCGTCTTGATCCATTTCTGGATTTTGGCATCCCTATCCTCTATCAAACGAATGCATTCGGCATATTGGCGGTCCTTGTCTTGGATCTCATCGTGGGTAAATCGGATTTCTTCGGGGAGGTTCTGAACGCGGTTGATCCAATCCTCCAAAATCAAGCCAGGATCCAGAGGTTCGGCTTGAGGCATCCTCTTCACGAAATCTATTGACAAGTCGTCTCTAGGCATGGTTGTTAATGGTGTTGAATGGACAAGCGTCTTGCGCAGCGAACAGTATCAACAAAACTTGTGCGATTTGTGTAGGCAGATTTGAACTCGCTGACTGCAATGGCAAGTCGTAGCAGGATGAATTGCTTGTAAACTGAAGAGGGAAATCTGAAACCTCAGCAGAGAAGACGTAGCAAATAAAGCGGAACCGGGAGCAGGTAGCTTGCCAGGGTGCTGGTCTGCCCGTTCGTTCGCTTGTGTTGGAGGGAAAATGCAGAGCAGAGCAGAGCGTGTTCAGAAGAAACAAACGCTATGGTGGAGCGGCCAAAACAGCTAGAGTTGGCTCCCTTGTACCCAACAGTAAGAAAACAAGCATGCGAAATGCTCAATCTGTCACATAAAAACAAGGAGAAGATGAAATAAATGAAAGAAGAACGAGATGAAAATAAAGAGGATGTAGAAAGACAATAATGTGAAAAAAGGAGGGCAAAAGATCCTGTTAGGGATGCCGGAGCACGCACATCTAGGCCCTGTGATTTCAGGGACGTCAAACGAATAGCGTGCACACGAGACAAGCAAGACAGGACGCTGTCAAGAGCAACAACGCGGAGGAACGCAGGCAGAGGGCGACTTTGATAAATGACGCGGCTCACCTCGATTCCAATGCGCGCGCACGTACGTACGTTGTTGGTTGGTTGGTTGGTTCAGTATATATCTGTGGATGATGCGCAATGACTGCGGTCTCTCAGGCGCATACACACAGGTACCGTGGCACTGGGCTAGTTTTTCCCCGGGGCGCTCGCTCTGTAGTGAGTAAGTGCTAGACGTTTCCGGCCTGATAGTGCGTGTCTCGCCAAGCCGCCGGACGATACAGAGGAGGACCGTCGGTGGCTCAGGCAGATGAGACGGAGGGGTGCTTGATGGCGTTGGAGGAAGAGCGACGAGAAGGTTGAAGAATCCAAGAGGGCTGACGGCCATTCATCATTGACTGGGTGGGTGCCGTCCCTGGAGATGCAGGTTGGCGATAAGTGATTGGTAGCCTGGCTGGTAGCTCTGCACCAGAAATGTAAGAGCCTGTACTTTGGCCGAACCCATGCGCTACGAGCACCATGTCCCCGCACTAGACTCGGCCAGGACTAGTTTCTCGGTTCTTATGTCGGGTGTGCCTGCCATCCAGTTCATTCATCTCATCCAGCATCTTGCCTTCTTTCCACACCATTCAAGCTCCTTCACCATCGTCGCACCAACCCATATACTGGCTCTCACACCCAGTTGAGCCGCTATCTCTATCTCTGTATCCGTCTCGTCTCGCCTTCTTGGATTTATACACACGAACGAACTCCGAGCTCTGGAGATTTACAGGACTCTGGGCCGCCTGCTTTCAAATCAAAAAGATCCATCCAAGTAAAATCGATAAAAACTTATCTTTCGCCCCGTGAAGCAGCAAGGAAACATACACCGGAGCAGACCACTCATAGCTACTACCCTCTACGGCATAATAATCGCCCAGCTTAACACAGTGACCCCCGCCTAATATACCTAAACCCCGGGCTGTCCACCGACTGCGACTTGCCTGCAATGGATATAGACTCATACAGATACAAGGTTCCAAAACCCAACTACTTACCTCACAAACCGGATGTCGACCGTGAAAATGTTGTCGAGGAATACAACACTCCCTTAGGCCTTTCCAGCGAAGCTGATGATATCAAGTTCTATCACAAATGCAGGCGCTATGCGGAAGAGTCTGGCGTCACCCGCCCAAAGGGCTATAACGTGTCGTTTCATTGCAACCCGGAAATGGAAAAGTATCACTTCGGCCAAAATCACCCTATGAAGCCGTGGCGACTCGCGCTTTCCAAGAGTCTAATCTATTCATATGGCATGTCATTTGCCATGGATAACTACATTTCTCGCACTGCCACATACGAGGAACTGGCGGGCTTCCACTCGACCGACTACCTTGATTTTCTGGGCACAGTTCTACCCGAGCCTGTTCCCCGGGACCTGGAAAGCCAAAACCCAGACTTGAAATTCAATCTCGGCGGTTCCGACTGTCCTCTCTTCGAAGGTCTTTATGACTACTGCTCCATGTCTGCAGGGACTGCGATGGATGCGGCGAGGAAGATCTGCTCAAATCAGTCAGATATCGCAATCGCCTGGGGAGGAGGACTACATCACGCAAAAAAGGCCGAGGCCTCTGGGTTCTGCTATATCAACGATATTGTCCTTGCTATTCTGCAGCTTCTCCGCTTCTACCCACGAGTACTTTATATTGACATCGACGTACACCATGGCGATGGTGTAGAGGAGGCTTTTTTCTCCACGGATCGTGTCATGACGGTCTCTTTCCACAAGTACGACCCTCACAACTTTTTCCCGGGCACTGGCGCCCTCGAGGACAACGGTCCCAAAAACGAGCATAACCCCGGTGCACACCATGCTTTCAATGTACCACTTAATGATGGGATTACCGATGAGCAATACAAATGGCTGTTTGATCGCGTGATCGGGGACATTGTTGCCAAGTTCCGCCCAGGCGCCATCGCCTTGCAGTGCGGCGCCGACTCGTTAGCCGGAGACCGGCTTGGCCGCTTCAACCTCCAGGTCCAGGGTCACGGTGCTTGTGTCGAGTTCTGTAAAGAGAAGAATATCCCCATGATCCTCTTTGGCGGTGGTGGATACACCCCACGAAACGTCGCTCGCGCATGGACGTACGAGACGTCGATTGCCATAGAGTACAACAAGAAAATTGACCCGACCCTTCCGCAACATGCGCCGTGGAGGGACCATTTCCGCCACGATACGCTCTTCCCTACTCTAGAGCAAACTTTGGGCGAGCCGCGACAGAATCGCAATCCCCAGAAACGCTTACAAGAAATCGTCCAGCATGTGACTGAGCAATTGCGATTCGTTCAAGCGGCACCCAGTGTCCAGTTTCAAACGATTCCTCCCGATTTGGGCGCAATTAGAGATGATGTCGAGGATAGGTTGAAGGAAGAAAATGAGGAGAAGCATGATGAGATCCGGAGGGCCCGGGAGGCAGCAGTCGGCACACCGATGGAGATGTGAGATGTGCAATGTCCTTGTCTATTAACCGACACCAAACCCGACTTTGGTAGGAATTCATGTGGTACAGATATCTCTATGTGCTTTCTACTCTGCAGATCGCGAAGGCTCGGTGTCGTCGCCTCGGACCGCCGCTTGCAATAGGCCACCACAAGGAGTAGGCGGAATAAGACCAGAGCCGGGATTAGAGCAGCAATGATGACCCAGCATGCTCCGCCCATGTGCTTTCTCTGACTCTCGCTGTCAAGAAAGACCATTTGGAACACGGCTTTATGTGAGAATGTGCTTGATCCGCAGCTCAAGAAGTTCAACCATAGCCGTAT